TATATATATACATATATATATATGTATATATATACACACACACACACACACACACACACACACACACATATATATATATATATATATACCCACACCCACACCCACACATACATATATATATATATACACACACACACACACACACATATATATATATACACACACATACATACATACACATACACACACACATATACATATATACATATACATATACATACATACATACATACATATAATCAGTAGCTAGCATACTTTGCAAAGTAAATGCTAAACTTGAGTCATAAACTTCAGGTATTAGGGCTGTGGAGACCGCTATCCATAATCCTGGAAAGATACTTTTAGTACATCATCCATGCCCAACTTGGTAGCTTCCAACTGTCTTGGACTACAACTTCCATTATCTTCCAGCCAGTATGACCAATAAGACCGGCTTGAGGAAGATATAGATAATATGGATCGATGGTCTGGTGGGTGTTAGGTATAATAGGTTTTCTAAAGGAGGCTGATTCTTACATAATCAATTATTCTCATTATAGTAATAGTTTGCATTCAAGACTTACCTTTATTTACCACTGCCCAGCTGGATAATGTTTTCAGACATATTGCACTTTCCTGCAATGGTTGTATGTGAAAGAGAAATAAGGATAATCATTTGGTTGGTTACTATGTTCAATGATTAATTGAACTGTGCTTACTGATTAATGCAGAGATAGATGCCAAGATGTTGATGTGGAATGATTTTAGCATTTAAATATTAATCATCAGCAAACTGCCAAAGGCTGATATTAACTGCACAGTGTTGTATCACCTTCTACACAACAGGGGCTTCAAAGCAATATTGGCTTATGCAGTTGTACTGATCTGAACCTCTGTTTCCCTGTATGTATGCTTCCTTGTATGCATGTTTCTGCATGGGAAACAGATCCTTGCCCTTTTGAAAAAAGGATGTATACTGTATTTCATAGAGGTGGAGAGATGTTCTATTATACTACAAAAAAGAAAGGAGATAATGGTTAAAAGAATAAGACCATACAAGGTATAAAGACAAAACAACTTCCTACTGCATCATTCCAGGATCACAATTCTGATTCAGAGTAGCCAGTAAATGCATTTGGTATTCTATAAAGAGAGCTTAATTCATGTTATGAAAGAGATTGTTCCAATCAGAAAGCTAGACACGATTTTTTTCTTGTCTCCTACAAGACTAGAACTGCTATATTAACCTTCTGATTTCACTCAGATAGAACTCAATCGAGCACTACCTGATGACTACAGTATATAATGACACTATATCCATGAAGGGTGTAACAGGTATTCCTCCTTTCTTATCCCCAACGTCTTGAAACAAAAGATAACATGTGAACATAGAACCCCTGACCAATGGATCAGTATTTTGGGGGTCTAATTTAATCCAAAACATTCTTGGCAATTATAATACCATCTCAATGGATTATTCAAATCCTTTAGAGTTTGTTGGTTATGGTAGGGTTCCTCAGAAATCTCTGGAGAATTAAATGGTTTGACAATGAAAATTAGGGGAAGTTGAACAGAATACTTTGCCAGTAGGAAATAAGACATTGAAGACTTAAAAGAAAAAAAGTCCCTTCTTTGTAATTGAAGACAAAAGAAATCAGAAGATCAAAGCTGGCCACTTTTATTCCATCAAAACCTCAACCGGGGTAACATATTACCATTTTCCAAAAAAGGGAGAGACTCGTTAATGCATAATCAGTCTCATAAATAGGCAATGATAGCATTTTTAGAACATAGAAACAATAAATGCAGTCTTCAAAATCTATATTGCTCTCTTGTGGTCATTTTAGATATGACAGAAAGCTCGTCATCAACAAATGCCTTTGGGAATTATTTCACCAAAATTCTCTTCTAGGCTGTTATCAACAGTGAACCAAATGACATGGTACGTTAGATTGGTTGGTAGAGATGCTAATAGGGACATAAATAATAACACCACTTTTGTAGTAATTAGGAGGCTATTTCTGAATATTGGCCTAGGAGTTAGGTTATTCATGAACACCAGTTTATCACTTTTCGGAAAGAGCGTTAAACCCATCTCCAGAACTAGTCTGCGTGAAAGGTCCCAGGTGCAGAATGAAGCAAGACCACCAAAAAGGGGTTGCAGCATTGGGGGCGTTCCCTCCCATTCCACCCAGTGTCCCTCTGTGCCTGTGACATGTCACTTCGGCTATTTCTGAATGGATTGCAGCCACAAGGACATGTATGTGTAACTGAACATCCCACCTTGTTCTGTGGTTTGCTGTGAATGGCAGTACTGGCAGTGAATGATCAAGTAGGTCACATCGGACCTGGAGGTTGGCAGCACCTGGGAATAGCTCATGGAGTATGTGAAATGAGGGAAGAGCACACAAAATAGCAACTCTCCAAGTAATAAAAACAGTAAAACGTACAGCCTTGTGAAACCTTCTGTCATTGGCAGCTATAGAAAACCTGTAATGCACTTATTTGGGACACAAGCAGCAACAGAGACATGCAGAATCTAACTCAGATTCTTGGTTTAAATCAAGGTGTGCAACACAGGACTAGTATCCTCTTGAGACAGCACTTACATATTTTAAAGGTCTAGTGCAGTGTTTCTCCACCTTAGTAACTTTAAAATGTGTGGACTTCAATTCCCAGAATTCCCCAGCCAGCATGGAGAATTCTGGGAGTTGAAGTCCACACATCTTAAAGTTGTTGAGGTGGAGAAACACTGGTCTGGTGCTATTCGAAGGAGCTGTAAACTCGTGTTTAAAAAATAAGAGCAATGCCTTTTCAAAACAGCACTAAACCTGTATGTATAAAGAGATCCTGTAGTACCTGGCTAGTCTGTTCCAAAGCATCAGTCAGGTGTTACACAGGTAGATACCTCTGTGGAAGCTAGACTTCCAATCTCTCCTGCAGCCTCAGCAAAAATCGTGATGGAGAGTAGTGCTCAGTGGTTAGAGAGAGGAGGCATATAGCCGAAACAGTTAAATACAATCGCCTGTGGGCTGGAGATGAAATAAGGCAATATCTTGAGGATGTGTAAATTAAAAATGGTTCATGAGGCATCATCGTATCAAGGCAGAGGCATGCGAGAATGAACCCTTATTTTTTCCTCTTTATGTCAGAGAAATAGCCCCAAGATTCAGCGCTCCACACCTGATAGCAGGAAGCAATGTCTCTTGTACAAATTATTGGTTGTGAAATTGTTTCTTGGCGTTAAGTATTAGGCTGATGACACGGGAGCCATTTTAGTGACAATTCAAACTATTCCTCTCCCTTTCTTATGACACACACACACACACTCACACACACAGAGCTTAACTGTGGCTTATCAAACAGCACAGTTGGCTAAATTCACAAAACACATTAAGCTGCAGATCATAGTTTATACAGCGCATGCCTGGATTTACATGTTATGCCTAGGCAAAAGTAATTATGACAATATAACGTGTATGTAGCGATGTGAATGTGAAATGCAGAATGTATGCTTCTTCGTTCATTTAAATTGGACATGGCAAAAAAGGCACTTAGTGTTTATGCACTCTGCATTTCTATGAAAATTTAGAACATTCTTAAAGTTTTTAAAAATAGATAGAAGTAGGCCAAATAAATAAAAACACTTTCCTTTTGCTGTCAATAAACTCCATTTTTTAAAGTTCACTTCATGCACTGTGAAAATCACAACAAAATTAAACTGTACAGTGACATTTATGTAAGACACAGCTGGTAAATGTTATGCACATTAAAATATAAAGTTAGAAGAAGATAAAATGAATGTACATTTCTATATACATTGCTGGAAAATACAACAAATTAATGCAGATAAATCTGGCCAAAGAGATTACAGCAAATACATAGCAGGCTAAAGGGATCATATACATACATTGGATTTCAGCTTCAACAGCCGTTTTTAAATGAAGCCATGACCTCTGGCTGAATCAAATATAAGATGCAAAAAGCATATATGGAAGAAAACAGTTACAGAACACTTGCAAAATAAAATATACAAGCTGAACAAATACTTTGTACAGGTAGTAATAATTTTAAATTATTGATCTTTTTCAGAAGGTATCTGTTATAAACAAGTTCCATACACACAGGAAAAAAGCAGTTGACAAAAATATTGTTTTATTATGGCTAAGATCCTTTGGCTGAAGCTCCAAGTTAGCATCTAAAATACTATTTTTAAAAAATGTGCCCTCCAACAAAATTTCAACTAAGCTTCTTCACTTTTTAAATATTAAAATACAACCTCTATAGCCAAGGTTTATTTTAAGTTAGAAATTCTCGTTTCTGAAACCCAAATGGTGTCCATTTTGCATAACACTTAAATTAAGAGCTGGCCATGATGGAGTAAGATGGCAATAGATACTATTAGTCAAGCTTTTCAGTTGAGCTTGAGAATATAACCTCTAGCTAATTTATTTAAAGAAAGCAGTGATGCACTAAGTGTTTTGAACTCACATTTGCATTTTGAGTTTGAAATGCTCTGTTTTTAGTTTGAAATTACTGTTCCAATCATAATGGAAATATTCCAATGCTGTTTTGACTATTCTGCTAGTGTTCTGAAATTGAAACAGCCCCATTTTTATCTCAAGACACTTCCATAAATCAGAACAACCCATTTGAACTTGCAACATATTTTGAATTTGAAATATTGTTCACCTTTCTTGTTAAAATATAAATTACTAATAAACGAAGGATTCAGAGTTTGGCACTAGCTTTTCTCAAGAGAAGCAGGAAGGGTTTTATTTTCTGACTTTCAGTTTATTCACACAAGGAGACTCTTCTTAATCTGGGGTTTAAAGATGTTATGTAAAAATAGCATTCAATCATCATAACAGTGACTCCCCAGATATTGTCCATACCCAACCAGCATGGCTACTGTCCTGAATAACAGAAGTTGATCCTATAATATCTGGGACCCCAAGTTTGCATAACATTTAAGGTAAGAAATTTAAAACCATGCAAGGTACACAGAAGCTCCATATTCAATTCTGTGATTTATTTATTTATAACAATTTATATGGTCACCCTCTCATAGCAATGACTCTGGTTGGCATATAAACCAAGCAACAATCAAATTGTTGCTTGGCTTATATGCCAACCAGAGTCCATGCCAACAATAATCAATTTTTCTGAATTTATATGGAATTGGTATTTAAAGTCAACTATACTGTTTAAAATGTGAAATTCTGATCAAGCCAAGTTTGTGGTGAATTGGAAACACGACATTCTGAAATATATTTTAATTTCCATATAGACCAGGCAGGTTCAGTCAATTAACTTTGCATGTCTATTTTGACTTTGTATTTCTGAAATGAGACCTGCGTACAATTGGCAGTACATTTTTGAAATCAGGGTTTTGAAATGTAAGAAAATTGAAATTGCTGGGAAAAAATTACAGAAATTCTTATGCTCTGGGTAAAGGATGGGGAAAAAGTACAAAACTTGAGATCAAAAGCAAACCTTTTAAGCAGCTGTTTAGATCTTAACCAGCACAATATGACCATAACATTACCCAGGAAATGTTAGGAACTTGTTAGGGTAAATTGTTTACAAGAGTTCTTATCAAATGTTCTTGAAATCATCTAAACCCTGATAATTCCTCCCAGGCCTTTGGAGCATTCCAAACTAAATTATTGTGGTTACTGAAAAAGCCTAATAATGTTCTCTCTCTTCAAATACTCTTACAAGCTCCGAAAGCTTTTCCTTCATATAGTGCAAAATTAAGCTGCAAAAAGCCAGTTAAGAGGACCACGAACAAAAACAGGTTGCCTAGCAAAATGCTGAGCACAGAGTTATTCTTGCATAATATGAAGGGTATGATTTCCCTCTGCTTGTAACTTTTGAGGGTTTTCTCAAGAATATAATATTAGTGCATCTGCAACAAATTTGAAGTGTTCTGCTCATCTCAACCACTAAATCTGCAGCGTTTATTGGAAGAGAAACGACACGATCATGCAGAGAATAGAGGATGTTGTTCTAACCTTCCCTTTCTCTTTTGTCTAGGCAAAATAGCGGATATCCATCACTACCTCTTGTATTGAACCAAGGAAGTGTGCCAATAGAAATGGAGGCCTCTTCCTGTAAATATAACATAGCAGTCTGAACAGTGCAAAGAGGACTTAAAGCATGTTTAATAGCTATTGAATGTTGACTGTCATCTGGGGAAGAAACAGGAAACAGTGAGAAGAGGAATAGAAGGTCTTCCTGGAGAAAAACATGGCAATTTTGATATTTTATTACGATAAGAGGTAGACAACCTATGCTTCATAACCCTCTAGATACTCCCAAAATCAGAGCACTGAAGCCTGGCTGCAAACTACTGTAAGGAAGGTGCTGTGACTTTCTGATCTTTCATGGGAAATAAAAGGAAATAGATATATTAAACTTCCAACACATTTAATGTCTCTATAAATATTAAGAAAACTTGCCCAATTTGCAGCCTGCCAAAATGATAAAAAATGCCCATATCTTCTGACATCATCACATCCCAGGCATAACTCTTCAGCACTCAGCTGCAAAAACTCCTTTTAACATAGTGTGAGCCCCAAACAAGAATGGTTACTCATTCATCTAAAATACATTATAATGTTTTGTTACAAGTCCTAATTGTTAGACACAATTTTAGGGGCACACTTTAAAAATATGAATGATGCGAGACAAGTTCAAATGTCCTTACATGGCCATTTCTCCTTGTGCACACATTCACTACTTGCTCTTGCAAAACATACAGCCGTCCAAACCAAATAGGCAGTTAAGAAGATACTTGTTTTCATATGAAATGGTGATCACTATTACATTTTTAAAAATCTTAACATCTTTGGGGGGGGGGAAGGCTAATATCAAAAGCAAATATGAACAGCACAATGAACAATTCAGTTGAGCATCAAATTGTTTTAAAGCATCCTCCCCCAGCCCAATGCTCTCCAGATGAATTAAAACTTCAGCTTCCCTAACCCAGTGCCAATGCTATTTTGGAATTAGAGTCAAAATTCAACACATCTGGAGGGAGAAGGACTGTTCTGCAGGATTTGCCATGCTATGTACAGAGGCATATCTAGCATGCCTGTTATTAAAAGCAATCTGTTCATGTTTAAACATTCTTGTTAGTAAAGAAAGACATTTCAAGGAGTATGAAAAAGGAAGGTGCACCAACTCCTTTCAATATATTTATAAAATCAGCCAGAGCTAATCAGGATGTGTTTTCTATCAGAGACGCAGTTTTTATTGTCTACTGCTAAAGCTGCCAATTGTTAAAAATAATTTTAACACTATATGTGTGTTCGTATTATGTACATACCACGTCACAGTGCAGCCAAATTTTGGAGCTGCTGAATCTCCCTAAGTTCAGTCTTAATACTGAAGCACGTCTGCTGAAACGAAGATTGAAAAGTGCCGCAGTTTGGCTGGATGGCAACATCTCCTTGCCATGTCTGCTCAGAAGTAAGTTCTGATGAAAGGGTTTACTTCTCAACAACTATGCTCAGGAATGGACTCAAATAATTGTTCTACATTTCACCTTATCTGGGTGAAGCCATGGCCCCGATACAGTTCAGTCTTTCTTTTAGGTCATGCTGGCTAAGAAACTGCAGTCTAACATATCTAGAAAAGGCTGATACTCCTTTTTTAAAAAAGTACCCCCCCCCAAAACCCAACCTTCATAGCAAAAATAAAATAAAAATCCCTGAATTTGTTTTTGTGGCCAAAAACTGCTCATACATTGCTCTGAGCTGTAGTTTGTTAACCATGGTTTATTGAATAAATCACAATTGGCTGGGTATGCTCAATAGTTTGAGCCATGAGCCACAATTTACACACTGTAGAGGTTGGGTTAATGCAACAGGCTAAACTGAACCCATCCATTATGGCTTACTGCTAACTGCAAACCACACATCCCACCCTATTCTCACAATCCAGTGTTTTACTGTAAGCATTAGCAATATATGACTACAGCAGACAGGGGGACCAATAGTGTGCCATAAACTCTAATTTATGACAGTTTTCTCCAGGGATGATATTTTTAGCAACCCTATGTTAAAAAACAATTTCATTTCACAGAAGAGAACAAACCAAATCAAAACAAGGACATATCATTTTAATATTCCATAAATAGGCCATGTTTCTACCGAGTTTAATCAAAATTCATTTCTAATGTCACCAGATGGTCCTAGTGTTGGATACGCTTAATATAATGCCGAAGAAACAACTGCTAAGCCTCTTCTTGCTTGTTTGATGTACATAAGAGTAACCACATAAAGAGATCATGTTGGAAACATGAAGTCCTTTTTTTCAAAAATCCCACAAACCAGATGGAATGAGTATATTTATGGGACTGAGTGAAAAGTCTCTCAGGTTGCTTTTTTTTTTCCATACTCTTATCTTTGTATAGTCACATTGGTGCCATTTAAGGCACTCCTAAAATTTAAAAAAACACTTGCATTTTTCATACAGTACAAGCAGGCACGCTGGAAACCAAAGATGCAGTTTTCACAGGCTCAAGAGCCACAGAGAACAAAATAAAATGAAATCAGTTTCTCGATGAGCAGATAATGCATGCAGCAAAGCACCGGTTTTGGTAAGACTCCACCCCCAGTCCACAGGGGCTTTTCTTCATATAAAAATGCACGTTCGTCTATTTATGACACTAAGTTCACCTGTTCTTCCTTTTGCCATGAATATGCCTTGGAGGAAGTCTTACTCCCGCCTAACAGAAGAACACAGCAAACAAAGACAAAGAGGAAGAGCTGAGCAGTTTTCTCAGTAGCGACAATTTGATCATGTAAGATCCAGAGGGAGGAGGATACCGCGCTCTGCAAAATTTTGCACAAAGGGGGAAAGGCTATCCTTCCTATTTCTAAATTTGGCCAATCCATTCATAATTAAGCCTGGCAAAATGGCTTAAGAGTTTTTAACCATTCCTTTGGTACAAGGTGACATACGCACATGCCACTTTTTGAGACAGCAGCAATTTGCTCTTGTGGTCAAGTGGCGGTTCCCCCATCAGTCTGTTTATTGATTTAGGACCAAATTCTCTTCAGATCATTCACTACCTCCTTCGATAAACCATGTCTCCTTCCGTGAAGGTGATGGTAGAAAATCAGGAACAGAGCCCAATTTCTTCTCCAGAACAGAATTCAGGTTTTCCAACTGGACCAACAAGATCTTTGCTGGCAAATTGTTCCCCTTTTCCAGATGGCCTTCCAGTCCATGGACCGTGGGTTATTCATTTCTTAAATGGTGTCAGTTTGTTAAAAGTGTGCCAGAAAAGTGATGGTTTCCGCTTTGGTTCCGCCAGGGCAAACACCTGCTGCTGTGGAATACTAGTGGGCACTGTAACGTGACGCTGATGGATAGGATGTAAACTTTGGTGTGGTGGTGGCACTGGGCATCCACTATAGTTGACACCTATAGAAGGAAAACAGTATCCAAAGATTACAATTCAGGGCAGTTCACATGACACTTTTTGCTATACACCAGGAAATCAGAATCTGAGGCCAGGGCCAGTCTCACCATAAGGCAAAATTCCAGGGATTAAAGAGGATACATAGTAAATTGGGGCCAATCCCCTTTGTTGTCCACAACAGTTTATTCATTATGCCTAAACTGCCTGATTCCCCAGAGTAATTTGCTGCTGAAGTGACCATTTTGCAATGTGTCACACTGAGGATCCCACCAGAACCAGCAATAGTAATACTGTTAAGAATGGGAGTATTACAACAGCCAGAGAAAAATGGTGTCACAGAGATTGTGGGACAATGGGACAACAGAAGAGGGGAAACTGGGAGATCCTCTTTTCTACTCAAGTGGCAGTCCTTCTCCTACCTCAAATAGTGTGTTTTCTTGAGACACCACTGCCTGTGACACTCTGGTTTTCATGGAACTACACACCTGGCTGATTCAGAGAGCAGGACCCACAAAGAGGCTGATTTCACACAACATGCTTAACCAAGTCTTTTAAAGACAAAGCAAATACACTCACAAACTTCTTTAACCATTGTTAATTTCTTTTGTGCTTAGAGCATATTAGTTAGTTTATGGTTAAATTATTGTGTAAACCTAGAAAATTAAGCATATTAACTAACACGGTGGGTTCCGGGAGTCATAGTTTGATGAAGACAATCCACTTATATGTGGATTAACAACCAGTAGTGATATCTTGCTAATATCCAGCTAGTAAAGCATAGGAATTTCTGTTCCTTGGATCTATATTGCCTGGTCTATGTGCTACCTCCTTACCCCCCTAATACCCAACAAGAAGAAATGCAAAGGGAAAAGTATCTTGGGTGAACCAGTTTTTGGTCACAATGGAGGAAAAGGCTTTAAATATTCACCTTTCATCTTCCCATGTCTTGATTTCCGTGCATTTTGCATTGCTTGTTTCTTTTGGTTTTCTGAGATTTCCATTCCTATATGTGAAGGATAAATGATACTGATTTCAATGCTGTTTGAAGAACCAGATTGTAAAGCAAAGTTCAATAAAAAGCACCACTGAGTAACAATTAGCTAATGGGTCCAATTTCAAAAGAGCAGCCACATGTCTCTTGTAAAGCACATGTCACAGTTTAATAACAGAGCACAGACTTGGCACACAGAAATGCTTAGTTTAAATTCTCAAGATCTCCACAAGGATGTCATAACTTCTGAAAAATAGTAGCAACCCATTGCTATTTAGTGTAGAGAATACTGAGAAAATGAACCAGTGGTCTGATTCAGAAAAATGCAGATTTGTCAGTCTAGAACAGCTCTACCAAAAAGAAGATAAGTTGTGATCACAAGGAATTATGCCTGAGAACCTGGAGATGCTGTTTTTGGTCATAAACAGTACAAAACACTTTATTTAAAAGTTGTTGGTGTTTTTATTATTTAAAATTAAATATATATACCACCCAACGTCCTAACGACTTTGCAAAGGTTTTGCAAAAATCTTATGAGGTCTTATGCAACAACACTGAAATCTCACAACATTTTGGCTACATCCTGTAAATTCGCAGTATAGTTTTGGTGATTTGGGGAAGTGGATACCAAGGCCAGTGGGAGAGACTGTGCAATGGGAAAAGATTCCAAATCTCCATTCTAATGTTTTCAGTTAGCAGAACTTACCCATTTCTTTGTCTTCTTGCACTCGTCTCCTCTCATTTGCACAAGCCTCCAGCCACTTTTTTTTATCTCCTGGCTTTTTCCCACAAAATAGATGAACTTCTTCCATAGCACTATTTACAATTTTGAAAGCATTTTTTACAGAGATATTGAAGTCTTTGTCTCTGCCATCCTCAACATCTACCACCTCCATTTCATCCATGTCCATCCGGCCTTTGTAGTACAGCATGTCCCTTCTCAATAAATCCTTCTTACAGAACACAAGCTGATGGTCAAAGAGAAAGAAAGTTCTTTGCTGGCTCTTGCCTTGCTTGGAGATTTTGGTCAATTCTCCCGAGTGGATTAATTCAGAGCTTTTGCCTAAGATGTCTTGCCCCTAAAGCATTTGTAAAAAATTGAAAAGGAGATACCCAACTTTATTTTCTTTTATCACTACCATGAATGAAGCTAGATGGGTAAGTAATTCATCCTTATATTAGTCTTTAATATATGGCTTAGTCTTCAATATGGTAGCCACCAACCCTGAACTGCTTGCCACAGTTTTTTGATCCCTATGCCAGTAAATACAGCAGGATCTTCCCTTACCGGAATGGGGAAGACATCCCACCCCACCCCCTGATGAAAAATATTAGAACTAGATGTCAACCACTCCCAATCAATGAATTAAGAGCTACAAGATCCCTGGCAAGAGGTTCATTTCTCCTTCCTGTAGGCCCTTCCCTCCATTTAAGCCAGTGGAATGGTCTGTTGTGCACATAAATATTGGAAAATAATTTCCTGGTGAAAAACAACCAGAAAGAGCTATCTATCCCTGCTAAAGATCCTTGTGGCAATAGGATGTTTGGTAGGAACTAAGCTTTTTTCCTGTTATTCAGCTGTCTGGAGCTACTATCTTAAGTCACTTAAATAAGGGATATTGTAAGAGGAGAGCTGTGTAGTCTAGGATAGGCAAAAATCAAGAGTTCGGTAGCACCTTTTCAGACTAATACTTTTTATTAAAAGGCATAAGCTTACTCACAAAAGCTTATGCTTTTTACCCTTAGAGAGGGAAAAATATAAATGTACTTGTAATTGCTGTTAAGAAGACTGGAAGCCACTTTTCTTTTCTTTCTCTTTTCTATTTCTTTCTTTGCAATTTTTTTCTACTTACTTATTACTTTCCTTACTTTTCTCTTTCAAAATTTGTATTGCTTTTATTCTTTTAAAAATTTCTCTTTCTCTCTCTCTCTCTATATATATATATTTATATATATAAAACAAAAGCTTATG